GTTAGGCCTATACATGTATTTATGTACACACCCATACAGTTCACATGGATACAAGTATGACAATGCAGTCCATTGGGTGTCGTAGTGTACAGAAAATCAACTGGTTGCTTAGTGCAGTTGCACTAAGAGATTTGCAGACTATCTCTAGCTTCAGCTTTGGATTTACCTCCTACTTTAGTCCCACATTGTGTTGCACATGTGTGGCTCTTGCTTATTTGCAAGCCTTTACCGCAGTGCACATATGTGGTATATGAATGGATATTTGTGCACAACCCTGAATGTACGCATGCATGTCTGCTGTGTGCGTACACTCAGGATGTATTTGTATGTGCTTTCGCAAATGCAACATTTTGTAAAAGTACTTAGTTACTTTGCAGATTACATCCTTGAGTTAATTTTACTTATGTATGTTGTGTAATGAAGCTGCATAACATACACTGAAACAATTTTATTTCAAGTTGGGACATTATTTTGGACAGTTGCAGATTCACATTTTACTTTTTGTTAATCCTATATCACTGACAGGATAATAACTATTTTAGTTTATGTGTAACATTCATCTCCAGTTGTGCGTGTACCAGTAACCGGTGGCTGTAGCAAATGCAGCAGTACAGTTCTTGTAGAGGTTCTTTGTTTTTCCTGTCTAACTACGTTGACATTGACTTAAGATCCATCCAAGATAAACTGTATGCTGCTTATTAGCAACATCCGACAGTGACTGGAAAACACTAACATGTAGGGTTACACTTTCTAAATGATGTGCAGGTACAGTATAGATAGCATAGTATGGAAGATACATTTGTATGTGCGTGGCATTTAATGTATGAAAATGTATGTATTTGACTGTGTTGATTTGTGTCTGTAGGATTAATTGTATTTATTTTGAGAATTTATTTATAAAGTATAATATTCAACACCAATTTTGTTTGCGATGTGATTGAGATTAGAAACCTACTGATGGAATTAGTCATCTTCTCTAAGACAGTTCCACTGGGCAGTGGATTACACAGACAAACCTTATTTCCCAAATGCGGTATGGCCAAAGGGTACAGTTTAAAACAGAAACAGAAGTAGGTTTTAATATGAGGTTTTTAAAAGTACACCCTGCAATGCCCACCACCAGACTTTTAAATTAAACACTGGAACCTACTAACGCCTGTAAAGTGATTGACAGGTATTTTAATACACAAGTAAACAGCACCCATTTATGCTTTCCAGTGCAAATGTTTGTTTACATCAGTAATGACTGTTTTCTCCAGCTTGCTGGTAGGTTATAGCACAATACAACATATGGGAAAGGATCAAATGATTCATAAATGCTTTATATTGGCAGCTTTGACACAAAAAAATGGTCTAAAATATGTTAAACTGAACAACAATGTTCTTTAATTCCTTCAACATGTTTTAAAAACTATGTTTTTAGTCTAGAATTATACAAGATTATATAAGATTAGAATATATAAGATTTTAATACCAATCTTTTTTCAATCATTTACCCCTTGACATAAATGTCTGGCTTAAGTGTTTTTATTTTGGTTTCAACAAGAAACATACACATCAACATTTTACAAAATCATACTTAAAGACAAAATCGATCAAACCACTGAGCAATCTAGATGTTGTAATGTTACCCTCAGGAGCTCTACACACTTCTGTATCTGTGTACAAAAGCAGAATGTTTAGTGTTTAGTCTCTTTGTGTACCGTATGCATACAGGTATAAACATCCAGCAACAGCAAGAGTTCATGAGTAGGTATACATGTGAATGTGTGTGTGTGTGCGTGTGTGTGGGTATGTGTCACACACTGTACTTGGCCTGAAACAGTGAGTCAGTGGAGAGGCCAGTTTATAGCTGACTGCAGAGAGCAGCTCACAGAGGGGAAGCCCTTTTTTGTCTTTTATAACACCCTGATTTATTCCACAGGACGACTGATTGAGACAAGTCGCTCTTAATGCTCTATAGACAACTACAGCCTACAGCCAAAGCAGCTGTGTGTCCGTCAGACTGCTAGAAGGGCAGGGACTCAGGAATTTGGCAGAATCAACTTCTGACAGTGCATTCTGGTGCCTATACCTTCCTTCATTCTCATTTACTGTGAGTTGTTCTCCTCCTCTTGGTGCCACATATGGGTAACACCTAACTGAAAATGGATTCATCCACACCTGTGGAAGGTCTCAATTAGCCTGCTCCATCCAGATTGGATAGATGAGAGGTAACAGATGAAACCAGGAGCTCAACAGGAGGGAAATGAGACACTGTTAAGCAGCAGGCACCAAGTCCGGGTTCAAGAGACAGAGCAGTAGCACAGTTTCCAACCCGCTGGCACTGTGAAATGCACAAGCCCGAGGGGCGAAAAAGGCAAGCACAAATCAAGCTTTACTGCAGTAATTGAACTGAAGTACGGCACTTGGGTTTATCTCTCTCTCTCTCTCTCTCTCTCTCTCTCTCTCTCTCTCTCTCTCTCCTGCAGCCTCAGTTGGAGGCCAGATGGGAGCCCTGCCTGCTGTTGCGTACTGAACAAAGAGCGATCTTGAGTGACCTCTTCACCGAGGAGCAGACCCGACCTAACCAAGGAATCTCCAATCCAGTGACATCACATGCCACATCAAGACATTCCTGGATGGTCAAGAGAGCTCTGGTCCAGTCCAAAAAAATAAAAAAATAAAACGTAAAAAGCCCTCTCACACCTGTCCTGCTTTTATCTCTCTTAATATGCACTTTACTGCAAATGAACTGAAACTGAAACTCATCGGACTCTAAAAGAATCTGCAGGTGTTACGATTGTGAAAGAGTCATTAAAAAAAGGGCTGCATAGGCCTGCCCGAGGAGCAAAAGGGTTGCACACGTACATGTGTACACACATGACAACACAGTGAAACTACAATGTGAATGACTTAACTTCAAAAGGTCAAAATGGACAAATACTAAAAACCATGCTGACATGTTAAAGATTGATTGTGCACCTGAACAAAACATTAACAAACACAAATGGGGAAAGGAACAGTATTAAAACACACTGACACAAATGTTAAGTTGCTGCCAGACTGACTCTGCCACACATTGCTTCTGAGTATCAATTCACCACAGTGGTTGCTTTAAGATTGTATGAGGCGAAACAAATTATCGCCACATGATGGATGCACAAACAGAGCAGGGAGGGGGGGTAGTCCGTCAATATCCTTTCTTTTACAATTCAAAAGCACTGTTCCCAGAGAGTGATTATTTCTCCATAACCTGCACATCTCTCACCTAAATTACCGTCATCCATCTCTCTCCGTTTAGCCCTACACACACACACACACACACACACCTCACTTCGCTATCCACTCCCATCACCTGCAGAGATGGAGCCGGGAGAAGGCAAGTCGCCTATGCTTGTCCTTGTTTATTTGAGCCGCGTCAGTGAATATTCGTTTTAATTGATCACTTGCAGTGTTTGGGAGAAGCTGTCTTATGTTGCCCACGGAGAAATTCTCCTCTTGGGTAGAACGGAAGGTTGTTAAAACGTGAGGAGGCGGGTTGGAGAGACGAGAGTCGTGGACTTTTTCTCCTCCCCACGATCCGTCTCGGGCGTGCGCGTCAATACAACGCGCACATGGGCACGTGTTGGTTATGCATGCCCGCGTGCGCACGCGCGCACACACACACACACACACACACAGGCAAATCGAGTCACATGCAGCGGTGGCGTCTGCTTTGCGAGAAGGGAAGCAGCTTGAAATGATACTCGCTTACATTACAATAGCGTTCAATCTACGGGAGGAGCTTAGTGGACGTTTTTCTTGTCATTATTTATGCGCGTGCACCTGCAGCATCAGGTTATAGGGATGAATTTTAAGCAGAGCACGATAAGATGGGGAAGAAGTCCATGTCAATTTTTTGGGTTAATTTCTTGTCATTTTTGCCATTATATTAGTTGTTTGTTGTAGGCTATTAAAATGCTTTTGCAATGGTATTTCTGTAACATTCATATCACAAAACGTCAAACAATGTCATTATAGATCGATAGATCTCTCATTGAATACAGAGGCACAAACCCATGACGTCCCTCATAACTAATCACGCTCATGCACTACTTTAACCACGCGTGAGGAGGCAACAAACACACACACGGCACACACGCACACTCAGAGGAAACGTTGCACTGCAGACCAGACTGACGTGACTACACTGCCAGCTCACTGCCTGCTCTGATGAAAATAAACCCCCAGTCAAAACTAAAGGCAAAATGAGGTTGCTCCTCTGTCAAAAGCATTCCAAAATCAACAGCTGGGATTTATAGCAGGCTTATGCAACCATGAATTACACTGATATGCTATAAACTGCCCATAAGAATGTCCTTGTTTTCCTCCTATGCCTCCTGCTGTAGTCCTTGGCGATGAAAATGTCTTCTGATTTGTAGTTTAACTTGAAATACGCAGATGACTACAAAAATATACGCTGGGTAGGCTATCATCAGCCCAATTTTTTTTTTCCTCCCTTGCAGATGCACGCAGATCAGCGCTCCTCGGCGTTCAGAGCTCAGTCTGGAGTGGCGCGGCTGTAGCAGCAGAATATTTGGCTGTAAACAGAGACACAGTGCTGTTGTCTCGATGCGATACGCAGGCTTTTAGAGACGGTGAGTGATTCGAGAAGGATTTTATTGCAGAGAGGCTCGTGCATCAGTGCAAGCTGGTGAGGGAACACGATTTTCTTAACATTTTGGATGTCTTTCCCCTTGCTTGTGTGCGCGCGTATCCGAGCCGTGCAATCCATTCGTGTTTCATTCTCTCTCTCTCTTTTTTGCTTCATCGTAAGTACTTACTGTCCGTTTTATGACTGCTACTCTTGTCCATAAGATGCCCTAGCTGTCTTGGTCGCGAGATGGTCGTTTGATGCATGTCAATTTTATCTCCTTGGAAATCATCACGCACAGTAGGAGTCAGGGAGCGAGACAGAGAACGCGCGATGGGGGGAGAAAATCAAGGGATCCTAGTTGAAAATGTAAGAGGATTTTTTATTTAGTAGCCACTGAAAAGAGATTAGGGCGACAGCAGTGGAAGTTAAATTGTGCTGCATGTAAAATGGGCGGGCTAGTCCTTATATTAGGTTTGGTACAGCCTATTCCAAAATGAAATGGTCTGAGCTTGGACACAGTCTGTTTGCCATGTACTTTATTTATAGGCATGAGCGATAAACTAAAACATTTATTTTGGAAAGAGACCTCGGTACACAGACCAGATTTTTAAGTTGAGAAGAATTTTTTTGTTGTTGTTGCTGACAGACTAAGATAGTTCAACTCACTACAGCACCACCAATGAACAGTGAGAGAGACCTGCGCATATCGTCAGCAGCCGCTTCTCCAGCCCCAAGCTAAAATTCGTCAGATCTGAGATCACAGAGGATTTTTGTCATTCAGTCCGGCAAGAAAAGATATTCTCAAAAGTTTGAGGATATAGCCAGCGGACACCGAATATATCCCGACTCATCTGCTGTAAGTGATTTTCTCCATATTTTTCTCGCCTTTTCATCGGGCAGAAGAAGGGGAGAGGGGAGCAACACTCGGATTTAGAAGGGTATGGTTTGTGTAGTTGGACGCCGCTAGAATGGAAGACGAGTTTTATTGGGGAGAAGGGGGAGTTTTGCCGTCGAAATTGGGACCGTTTAAGGGTTATTTTACGGCAAACACGAGCCGTTTGATGTTTTTTAACGGGAGACGCCTGGTTTTAGCACCACGGACAGCGCTCCGACTAAAACAGCATCAACGCACATTTGCTTAATTACTCCGCACGCACGAATTGGATCGCCATGTATGTATTTAGACCAACCTTGTAGTGATGCCAGTTGCATGCTAAATGTCTCACCAGCTCAGATACATTCAATGTAGGAGAGAGGGTGACATTTCCTCTGAATAACTTAGAAAGTGGGCTTGTGCGGGATTTTCTCCTCCAGTCGTTAATCTGCATCATCCCCGCCTCGTCAAATCCTTGTCAACCAAAGGATTTATTTTTTTTATTTGTATTTCATTTGAGCAGAGCATTGTACGTTCCCCCGACTCCCATCCGCTCACTGTGCACCTTGGAACATCACAAGCAAGTAGCAGGGGCATTGTCTTCTATGTGGGCTGTGCTTCACTGGCAGGATTTTGTGGTCGTGTGTGAAATTCTGGTTTAGCGCTTTTAGATAAGTAAGTAATCGGTCCTCTTGTGGACACATCGATTATGCCTTCAAAAATAGACCGTGAACCTGAGCATTGTGTTTTGCATGCACAGTAGCGCAGGCTAATTGCTTACATACTTTATGACCCGGCTGACATCATAGCTTAATGAATGAGGAGGAATCAAATGCTCCTCTTTTAGAGGGATTTGGTTTGATATTGCGGTATTGTGCGTTTCACATTGCAGAGGAGGATGTGTACAGGTGCTACAAGCTCACACAGGGTGTTATGTGGTCGATGATGTGTTGCCTTGCTATTTCATCTTAATTATTATGCGCTACAGATGCAGCCATATCGTATACATGTGTATTGAGTGTCAGTTATGAAAGTCGTATTACCACTGGGTCCCTTTCTGATCATTGAAATTCAGACCAGCTATTTAAAATTCGGTCTCCATAGAGGGTGTATAGTATGTCTCTGTCAATGTGACACATCATTTAAAATGATGATGTAAAATCTTTGAGGCGTGCGTGTGTCAAGTAGTATGTGATGGCCCAATGCATGTGGCAGGGCTATTTGGTTTGATTCATGTGCTGTCACTGAATCTGTAAGGGATGTTAAGAAGCAGAACCAAAAACCGCATCTCTATAGGAACAAGCCTTCACGTTGCCTGTTGTTGTTTTAGCACATCTACATGTTTATTTCACTCTTGCTGTGATGCAATGTTTGGGTTGATGGTGGACCATTGGTTTATATGTCTTGGTAATGCTGTTCATTCTCTCTCTCTCTCTTTGACCTCCAGCAGTGAAAGGTCCTCATATTGCAACGATGTGTGGACGGAGCAGGACGGCCTTTCTCTTTCTGTGGGCTGGCTTGCTTGTCGCCAACAGCGTACTGGGTGGGAAAAGGTAAGAACAAACTTTAACTAACATTTGCATAAGTGCCTGTATTCTATTGGGTCCCTTCTAAATGTGTGAAAGCCGCAAATATCTTGCACATTGTTCATATGACTTGGTTTTGAAGCCTTACGCATAGTTTGAGACAAACGCTCTGTGAATTCTAAATATTGCCCATATGATCAAGATATTAGTGGAACACTGCAATTCCACACAGTGACATTTGGAGGACAAACTGTAAAGACCACACTGCACTAGGCAAAATATTGAATGCACCTTTTTGAAGCGGGCAATTACCTTTTAATGCTGTTCTCGGTGCTTGCCAAATGGTCAACAGGACAATAAATATGTCAGTAAATCAGTCAGCCAGTCAGCGAGGGCTGCAAACAGTTGAGATGTCTTCCTGCCTATTGCTTGCGTTATTGGGTTACACCCTTACGGATATTCACTGTGGTTGTAACTGGGGCATCCCCACAGGACACATGCTTATAATTGCATAGAGGCAATGAGAAGTGCAACATAGAGAAAGACGATGGGGTGTTGAAATAGCCACTATCCTTATTAACATAGTATTACACAGTGTATTTTTTTAGGGGGGGGGGGTTGTCTGGCCTTGTCGGAAAACATCTACATTCTCAGTTTTCACACCTGGGCTGTGTACAGTAGATGACTTGAGTTGCATCGGGATATTTGGCACAGATTTGTGCACTCGGCATTTGACAGTGACTGCGGGGATAGTAGGGTCGATGTACAGACACACTTCTCAATGTCAACACTGAGGTGTCGGATGCCACTTAACCAGAAGCAGACAAAGAGAGATAATGATTGGATAAGAGGTTGCAGCAATTTAATTCACTGTCATGTGTCTGCACCTGCATTAATTGCCACGTGATTCAAATGCTGGCCAGCCATCCATGTGTAGCATACCTTAAAAACAGCATAATCTGACTCCAATCCTTGGATTAATGTGGACAGCTCTGACATTGAACATTTACAGTAAATAAGCACGAAGACAGAGATACGTACAATTCATGAGCTGTTGGAACTGCATGAGATCATATTAGCTCTCATTCCATTGTGGTTCTTCTGGATAATCCTGGAGAGACTCAAGAGATCAGGCTTTTCAGAATGGTTGAATAATTCAGTACAACTGTCACATAGAGTTGACTTGAATGGTGATGTCTTGAGATGGTCCAGCTTGCTTCTCTGCCAGTGACAACAGAAGCTACACCACAAAAACACACATGCATACAGTACACATTACATGTTTCAGTTTACATGCCCTGAGCATATGCATAATGGGATATGTCCTATTTTAATGCATGATGCACTGCGATACATCATCATTGCACACTGATTTGATCTAACTGATTAATCCCGGCCGTAGTTGAGGTTTGAGATGCACTGACTGGCAAATGGAGAGTTTGATCTACTGGGTTTGATGTGCTATATGTTGAGCCCGTTAGAGGGAAATCTAAAAGTACTGATTACTTTACTCAGGAACTGTCACTGCAAACTGCAAAGCAATTATCACCCAAAGATTTACTGTATAATCCAGTCCCCCTTTTGAAGTCAAATACAGAATCACGCACACACACACAGACACCTTGGGGGATTTCAACAAGACACGGTAATCAGGAAGACCTAGCACTCTGCTACAGTATGTTGCCAACGATAGAAATTGCCTTATAATTAGATATCCGAGTGACGAGAGAGAAAGCGAGTGAGTGAGAGACGCGCAGTAAAATGGAGAAAGGGAGACATTGGCAGAGTGAGTGTGAACGGCACTGTTGCTGTTCAGATGACCTGTAGATGGGGATGGTGTACAATGTTTTATGAGGAAGTGGCCCCTGGCTGATAAACATGTGTATTCTTCTACAGCACCTTTTTCTCACCATTTCGTTTTCTTTTCCTTGACATACAACCCCAACCCCGCCTGTGTTACCCACATACACTGCAAAAAATGTCTATCATGAAGAAATGTATCTGCCATATTATTCCAAATAATCCTAACATGCGCTTGAGATGACAAATATGTCTTGTCGGTATCTTGAATCAAGGTAAAAATACAGCAGACTATCATTCAAAAAGATGCAAGGTCAAAGAAGTATCCCCATTGAAAGATCATTTTCATTTTTTTCTAAAGAGTGTAATTTTCACTATTTCTGCCACTGGTTAATAATTACTTGTAAGGGTGGATTATTCTCTTGTATATCCTTCTATTATTTATCATATTTATTATTGGTTAACTTCAAAGATTTAAGGGACATCCTGGCTTGTTTTCTCTGTTGGTGGAAACTATAACACGAGGCCTGTAACCTTTGTGGCCGACCAAAAACTGTTCCGATGTCTTTCTCTGATTTGGAAAATTGGAATATACATGTGGAAAATAGGAATATTAGTCAGCGATCGAAGAAGAGGTTGTGTTTTATTCTAGTGACAGCTGATGTGTGCAATTTATGCTCCCTGTATTTATATATAATTGGCTTTCCAGACCTGAACAAAACAGATAAATTATTGTTTTGTATTTGAGTATTTCCAAGCTGTTACCTCCAAGACTGATGCAAAACAAAATTGCTCATCACAGTTTCCACAGTTGTTAAGGCTGGTTTCTGTTTTCAGAGTTTTTTTTTTTTTGGCAGATAGGACGCTTGCGAATTAAGGGAAATTGGTGGCAGAGAGATGCACATTAACCCTTTTTATACAAATCCATGTGTGACGCGGATGCGGCATCCTTGTTTAGAAAGCAAAATGTTCAGCAGCTCACGTTCAAAGCTGTGGGATTGAGGCAGATCCTACATGAGCTGTCTCACTGAACGCCACTCCTCGGTGTCACTTAACAATTTCCTCACCTTTTTCCAACCTCGCTCTTCTCCGTTGTATCTCCCCCTCCTCTAGCTCCATTATATCCATCTTTTTTTCTCTTTATTCTCTTTTCTTTGGAGCTTTCCTTGCATGTTTCTCCCTCCAGCCATCCCTCCTACTTGTCCTTCCCTCCCATTGCAGGTCCCTGCTAAATAATCTTGATGACCTCTCCCTCTCCTTGGAGCCGTTCAGCTTACAGAGCTTGTTTCCAAACACTTGCTGTTTATTTAGCATGCAATCAAACCAAACGCTAGTGGCAAAAAGAGAGGGAGAGAGATGATTGCTTCGAGGCATACAATGCATTGTGAGAGAGTTTCATCTGATTATTTTCAGCACTGACGCACATGCAAACATATGCATGGTTATGTCCAGAAGCTTGCATATGTGCATTAAACCCTGAGTCTACCGTACATGCATGCAATGACTTAGGTACGCAAACACACACAATCACACACATACCTTCCTGTCGCACCCCGCCTTTATACAATGTAATTAGGAGCTGTATTCCTGATTATGAGTGCTATCAAATATTTATGCATGGAGATGCTGCAAACTCTGCTCTTACAATTACTGATTGTGACTGTTTTCGGCATTGCTCTGAGCATTTTGTTTCATGTTGTTGAAAGAGCACATTCAGCAAGGCCTTTGTGGTCTAAAAGACCATATTAAGGTATAAATAATGCATTATGATTCCTCTATTCTCTCTCTCTTTCTCTTTCTGCGTGAGATTGTGCCTACGTGTGGGCGTGTGTTCGCTCACACGCATGTGCTCTGAATGCCCAGTTTTACATTTCGATGAACTTTAACACTTTCCAAAGGGATAATACAGGATCATTTGGCTTTGTATTATATTTTCTTTTCCAGTGTGTCTCATCACTTGTTCATTCTTCTCATATCAATATGATATAAAACCTCATGATCACACGCTGTTAATTATAAATCGGCATTGACACTTAAAGGCGTCAGTGTCATACAGGATTTGGGTTTTCTTTTCTTTCTTTTTTCACAATTCATGATGCATTCTGTGTTGCCCATGTTCTTCAACAGACTAACATCCTCCTTTTTTGTCTTTGATATATTATTCAGAGTTTGTTCTTACTCTTTCAGCAGTTTTGACTGTGGTTTTGGACTCTAGCTGTGATGACTTTAAATCTTCTTCTTTGCTTTGCCAGCTCTGGGCAGAACGGCATGACAGATGAACAGAAAGATAACACTACAGTGTTCACGAAGATCTTAGACAGTCTTCTGGATGGCTATGACAATCGCCTCAGGCCAGGACTAGGAGGTCAGTTAACCCAAGTCATTAAATGTCTTTTGTCCCTCATGGTGACTGTTTGAATCTTTTTTTTTTCTGTTTTTTGCCAACATGCAAATATCCTCCTGAAGGATTCCTAAAAGTAGCTTACTTTCCACGTAGTAATATCCATATGATCAAATCTTGGAGGTGGGTTTGCTTACAGTGTCAGATTATGTGAGTGATGATTAAAATGAAAAAGAACTGGAGATTCACTATTCACCTGCTGCTTTTGTGAAACAGTGAAATGGCATGAAGCCACCACTTCTAACATAACATAGTGAGTGACATTTTATTGTGTGGGCAGCCCTTCACTCTATTGTCAACTGTCCATTGTTTGAGAGGACAGAGAAACAAAATGGCAGGGAGACTGAGAGACAAATCCAGAAAAAGAAAATGAGAGAAATGGAAAGAAACAGAGAGTAAAAGAGAAAAGGGAAAGAGATAATGTGACAATTGGTGTGTGAAGGACACCGAGGATCCCACACTGCGATGCAGCAGGCATCAAAAAAACCAGGCCTACAGGAAGTTCAGCGACTGAGGGGAAGAAATTCTGGATTACGATGGGTATCATTCATAAATCAAGATGTCATATTTCAGTTTCAGAATCAAAAGGAACGAACCCTCACACACACACACACACACACACACACACACACACACACACACACATGCATATTGCCTCTGCCACCCCCTCCAATTCAGTCCCAAGTGGACCCATTTTGGCTATCAGTATTATGGGACCAGAGTGGCATAGTTTCAGTAACACATCAATGCGCAAATTTATTAAGAGATTGAACCACCGTCCGGGTTATGGAGCTGACACTGAAACCAATACCAACAGAAATGGTTATCGACATCCAAAATAAGCATTTTTATGGTGTTTTTTTCTTTTCCAATTTGTGTGTGTGTGTCCAAGTGTTAAAAATAATGCTGAATAGATTGAATGGATCAGAGACTATAGCCAGGTGGTCATGTATTAACAGGTAGTTAGAAGCTAATGAGTGCCACGTATAGCCACTCACTCTGGCAATTTTCTGCTTCAACAGAGCGTGTAACCGAAGTCAAGACTGACATTTTCGTGACTAGTATTGGACCCGTTTCGGACCATGAAATGGTAAGACTCCTTTCGCCTCTGTAAATGTCACTAATTCCCCCCTGCTCCTGTCCCTCCACGCTCACCTCTGCCTTCTAACCTCTCCGGGCAGAATGGTCTCCAAACTGGAAAGAAATAATTAATTTGATGATTCATTCCATTAACTCCTGGTGTGTTAATAAAACTGTCACGTGTGAAATGTATTTTCTGGTGCATGGTTCGTAATCCCACTCTATATAAATGCCACCCCTACTCGTAAATATGACTGCATATGACTTTAATGCGGATGTCGAAGTATGCCGTGTGCTCCGACCCCAAACTCTGTTTATTAATTTTGGAATAATAAAAACAGCCCTGCTTGTGATAGAGTATTTACATTTATATACCCATATAATACCCATGCTGATATGTCTTTACTAAACAATCTGGAGCAAAGAAACGGTCAGATAGTGAGAGTCAAAGACGAAAGGTGCTGATCTTTCCTTCACTCCTGAATTGCAATTGTTTTATTATTTGTCAATCTTATATGGAAGGTCAAGCTGTGGCCACATTCTATTTTGAGATAAGTAATAAGCACTACCGTATGAAGAAATGTTTTTAACATCAAACTAAAATGCAACATCAAAATATGAACCATTATTAAATCTTCTTCAATATGCTAAAAAAAAGCTGTGGGCTTTTCAAACATGGCCATCTGATCCTTACTCTGTGCACTGGAAACCAATTAATCTCATCCAAATGTCTCACTGTTATCTGCACGTGAAGTGCTGTACTCTATTTGACGTAATCTAAGTTAATTGCAGTGGTTGACATGCGGGCCGGGACTATTTTGCTGCTGTGTTGAGGCCAGAAGGAAGAGCTCAAGAACATTGTCTCCATCTTCAGCCTTTCCATATCCCCCTCTATTACCTTGAAGCTGTTTCAGCTCACACTAATTATCTCATGTGGGCCAAGTGGAAATGGGGAGAGAAGAGAACAAAAAAACATGCTGCGCTGTAATTTTTACAGGCTCCCTTTACTTTGCCGGGCAGTCATGTGGAACCATTAGAGTCTGCTCTCAGCTATAGTCATTAGCTGCCTTCAAAATGAAATATCCTGTTAATTTTGTGTCCCATGCTTCCTTTTTGTGTCCAGTGTGATTTTGATTACTGAACAAAGAATTTTCCCCAAAGATAAATGCTAACAATGACCATTTTTGGCACTTACCTAACAATGCAAAACCAAATGATGCTCCATTTGCATATAGTGTATTAAACTGACCATACCACAATTGTGTAAAATATGTAATGAAATTAAATAAAAAAGACAACCTGACATATTACTAAGTGAGATAAAGAACAATTACTAAACATTACAACCGAGGCAATCTTTTAGAAAAGGTACCAGGCAGAAAACCAGGCACCTCCATCCACTAGATCCTCTCCATATTTGCAAAAGCATTTAACATGAAGAGACAGTTAGCATCAGGGAAACTAGGTCAAGACTACCATAAGAAAGTCAAAGTGACAAGAGGAAGAGAAAAGGGAAAAAGTGAGAACATGAAAAAGGATAAAAAGTAAAAATAAGGTTTTATTACTCAGCTTCTTCCCCAAGCCAGCTTTGGTAGATGGCGGTGGAAGGAAAACAGCTATAAGGTTAGGGATTTTCTTTTTAGTTTGTCTCCCTCTTGACTCGATGTTTTCTCTACCTGTCACCGTCCACCTGTAGGAGTACACCATCGATGTCTTCTTCAGACAGAGCTGGAAGGATGAACGGTTAAAGTTTAAAGGACCCATGGCCGTGCTGCGTCTCAACAACCTGATGGCCAGCAAGATCTGGACCCCCGACACCTTCTTCCACAATGGCAAGAAGTCGGTGGCTCACAACATGACCATGCCGAACAAGCTGCTGCGAATTACAGAGGAAGGCACACTGCTGTACACCATGAGGTAGGTTGACTGTGATCTACACTGGTGCAACTCAGAACTAGCCAGAGAGTTAAATGTGTTTGAACTGACATTAAATGATAACGATACTCAAACTGAAGCAAATAGAGATTTTGTTTTGGGGACCATTTTCTTTTGCGAATGAATGCACATTTGGTGCACTACTAAGTATTTGCTATACCAGAATGGTGTGTGTGGAAACTACTCATGATAGTGCCCATGTTCATGGTAAAGAAGGAACATGTCGTCCAGTCCAACAGTGTGGTTTATTGATGGGGTTTTTTATTTTATTTTTTTTGGACAGCAATAGAGATTTATAAAATAATGCAATTTTGTATATTTAAACATAACATTTCAGAAAATATGTAGTACAAAAAGGTAATTGCTTTAATGCAGTAATCAACTGGGGAAGTTACGTGATGATATCTATCAGTTGAATTTTATACTCTTCACCACTGAGTGTAATCCCCTTGACTGTGAATACACACAATATTGTGTTACATTTACTGTTTTAAGATTATTTACTGTACTACTATTTATTTCGCTATTGATTTATTCATTGTTCTTTAGAGATTATAGTCAGCCATTTATAAATTATGTATACCTCAAAAAAATCCATTCATGGTGTTCACAAGGAAAAATAAAATAGTGTTAACCTGTCATGATTTATCACTTTGGGGATGCTGCTTGACAGTTGCGAGCAGGAAGATAAGGTGAAGAACCAGTCGTGGTACCAGTCGTGCCTTCAGCAGACTGTGGGTAAATAAATGCTTTACAGACAGTACAATCCTTGATGCACCGCAGAGCGATGCTATGTGAGATGTCTAAGGCAAGGATTGTAAAACATTTGTTTTAGCATGTTTACTAGCAGGGGGAGGGGGTAGAGGCGGAGCCCATATTGCTGTCACAGATGAGCGAGATGAGGGATGGATGGGAGATTAGTGTGTCACGGGTGGCCTGACGTGCTGTTTTTCACCAAGCTGTCAGGAAATGGAAACCCACAGCTCAGGGAACTAGAGCGTTTCTGTTGTTTTGGGGGAAAGTAGCTGCAGTTTGATCGCGTTTGGTACACCACATGTTCCTGATGCCTCGTTGTACTAAATTGTCATTCCTGTGCCTTAATTCTTACAGTCCTCTTCCTGACCCCTCCACCAGCACTGTCAACATGATTTCTTTCTTCCTGGCTCTACCATATGCTGTGTTTTTCATTATTTCCTTGCCTTCCTTTTTTTTTCTAATTCGCTATCAATGTCTGTATAAATCTCTCTAGGCTTACAGTAAGAGCAGAATGCCCCATGCACCTGGAGGACTTCCCGATGGATGCCCATGCTTGTCCACTGAAGTTTGGCAGCTGTAAGTGGCCTCTGCACTCACACACAACCTTACATACATGGACATACATGCACACCACACAGACACACACGCTCCTCTCTGACACGCTGTCACTACCTCATTCAACTGGAAGTGCAACCCAAGCACCGTTCCCTGATAAGGGATGGCAGTGTGGTAACAGCTGTTCTCCCAGAGGAACTGTCCGCCAAGGCCCCTGTGGTCCCCCCATTCAACCCTGCAAGACCCTGCAAGACCCTGGCGGGCATGCAGCGCACAGACCTGTGTTTATCCAAGGCAGCACTCTTTGTAACATTTCCAGAGCATCACACCAGCTGCTCACCACTGACAGCTACCCCTTCCCGGCATCACCCTTGAGAAGACATAACAAGATATAGAAAGATGGAGGTTGGAGACAAGAATATGGAATGAGAGGAGAAATAGATGGGAGAAAAACATAGGAGGGGCGAGGGGAGAGAAAGCCAGCAAAAATACACCAAAAGTGGAAGAGATAAAAAAGTGAACATCACACTGTCTCTGTGCCATTCTTCAGGCAGCTGCACAACGTGAGTGAGCGGACCGAGTCCCAACCCCCCCTTTAAATTGAACTCACTCCCTAAATATTTCAGTGATGAGCTCTCTTCCTTATGCTGCAGTCTGCAGTCGAGCCATCCTTTCCTCTGCAGTGGTCGAGCCACACTGCAGCTTTGACAGGTTGGGTGGCCGGAGGGAAAAACAGACTGACTTGGCTGTTTTAAGGTCATGATGTCCTGTTGGGATGTTGTTTATTTGTTTTCTTACATTTAGAGTGATGACATGACACAATGTGACATGACACAACGCATCACATGTTGAAATGCAAAAATGTTTGAAAAGGGAAAATATCTTAAAAAGTAATAAGTAGTGAGAAAACAGTGGAAATAAGGTTAGCATACACTCGAACAAAGTACAAAATTGTATGGTCAAATAGCAAATGAGACAAGACAGGCAGAATTGAGATGAGAGCAGAGTAGACAAGATAAGAGAAGGAAACCAGAGACCATGAGAAAATAAATCCAGAGGAATTGAGTGGAATACCTCATTCCAGATTTCCCTTTTTCTCAACTGGCATTCAACCCAGCAGCACGCTAAAAAGCTAAAAATACATCCTGCAAGGCATCACGTAACAACAGACAACCAGCAGCCAAATAATTTATAACTGCTCACTCTGTCCTTCCTTGTCAGATGCCTACACTCAAGCAGAGGTGGTGTATGTGTGGACCAGAGGGGCTGCCCAATCCGTGGTGGTGGCAGAGGATGGCTCCAGATTAAACCAGTACGATCTGATGGGGCAGAGTGTGGATTCCGGTGTGGTGCAGTCCAGCACAGGTGGGTTTCAGTTAGGTTACAATATGCTCTGAAGGATACAGTTTACCGTGAAATATATAAATGTTTGTAGAGGAAATCTTTACATTTTGAGTAATTCATTGACGAGAATAATATTCACATTGAATTACCCAGTCAAAGCTACTGAGAAAGATTGAAGCTCAGTCCATGCACAGGTACATTGTCCTTGGCTCATTCAGTCTTGTTCATCGTTCATCTTTCTTCAAACTAAGTGGTCTGAAACAGCTACTTTTGACACAGCTACAATAGTTCATCTGTATCTTCAACGGCATCAGTTTGTAGCTTTACAAATGACAGGCCATGCCCTAGATTCATAATTCCCCTACTTGTGATTATGTATTTTATCCACCTCTTCTTTTTTTTATTGATAAAGGCAAAAAAATGAGTGGCAGCCTTAAATGAGTGACCCGTTTGCAGTGGCACTAGCTGCAGGCAGAAAGTACCGCTTAAGACAGTGCCAGCCCCCAATCACTTGCCTTGTTTGCAACAAGCTCCCAAGTGACTGCATCTACCAAGCTTTATCGAATAATGTTGATGTTTAAATTTTAAATGCATTCTATCTTTTTTTATTTCTTCCAGTTATGTATTTCTCTGGAAAGCCTCAAAATCAACATATTGTCATAACCAGATAAAACCCCAGTGCTGTTGCTGTAGTGGTCGTTTTCTCTCTGCAACTGGCTCTAACTGCACTGATGAAATAGGTTATGCCAGTGTATTGAGTTTGTTGACAAATGACACCCATAACTATGCCAATAAATCTCTACCACAATAGAAATGAGAGCCAAAACACAACAAACCACTTGGAAAAAAAAGCACCAAGTCTACAGGGACAGGTGAAATAGATGTCCTTAATATATATTTTGAAGTGTAGAGTTTATTTGTACATTCTTTCTGACTTTGTGTCTTTTGTCTGCTCACCACAGGAGAGTATGTCGTGATGACAACCCACTTCCACCTGAAGAGAAAAATTGGTTACTTTGTGATCCAGACATATCTACCTTGCATCATGACAGTCATCCTCTCCCAAGTGTCTTTCTGGCTCAACAGAGAGTCCGTCCCTGCCAGGACTGTCTTTGGTGAGTTGTCTGCTCCCTTTTCTTCTAAACATCTGTTGGTAGAGAAATGAGTCACCAGAAGATTTCAAAATCTGTTTTTGATATGATGGTACGACATCAAGCACTCGATCAAAACTTTAGTGCCGTTGACGAAATTCAATTTCAATTCAATCTATTTTTGTATATATGTTAATAATAAAAATTGGTAGTAGCATTGAGTGTCAGCAGGGCCATGGCGGGAGGAAGGACCCGGGTCCAGATAAAACCACGATCCATGGGAACCTGTGAGGCGAGAAAGCACAAAGACTTCCGGGGAAGAAACACAATTAGTAATGAGCATTAATGGGACATGAATTCATACAACAAGAGATGAAGAAGAGGAGATAGGAGCTCAGTGTATCCTAGGAAGTCCCCCGGCAGTCTAGGCCTATAGCAGCTAATCTAGGGGCTGGTCCAAGGCAAACCTGAGCCAGCCCTAACTATAAGCACTATCAAAAAGGAAAGTTTTCAACCAACTCTTAAATCTGGTGAGTGTGTCTGCCCCCCGGACTGAAACGGGAAGCTGGTTCCACAAAAGAGGAGCTTGATATCTGAAGGCTCTTAATTCAAAAGCATGTACGGAGCGGCAGCCGGCATCCGCCAACTTGGAAAAAAGTCATAGTAGATAGAAAAATGAAAATGATACCTTCACGAGACGAAAAGCAGATCCATAATCCAAATAACATACTTGACTAGTGATGTTTGGCTTATTTTTTTGAATCTATAGTGTAATCTGTATTTAGTATGAGGTTTGAAAATATTTAGCTTTCATTTAAAAAGTGTATTTAACCCATTAATTGACCCAGTCCATTTGACAAGACACGCAGTTGTCAATGGCCCTTGGATTCAGCTTTATTTCTTTGCGCCAAGATTAACAAAAATGTCTTTGCTGCCAGGATTTACTACAGTGTGAATACCGCATCTAAATTTGCATCATGAGACAATTCATCAGTGGGGAGGGAGGCTGATTCCCAAATGGATGGGGTCCTTGATCGATTGTCTCATGCTACCACAGTGTATTGATGGAGTTAGATGATGTCTGATTAACAGGCAAAGCAAAGCAAAGAGAATGATTGCTTTACTTGATGCTGGAGAAACATTCACCGATATGGACAAGCGGTTAACATGTCGGGGAAATCATGTTCTTTTGATGAGAGTTAGATAAGAGCTGGGAGTAGAAGGCAATTTAAAATGCAACAAATGCCAACACCTCTAATGCTCACTAATTTCCATGTTGTCTCTTGTTTGTTTAATATGTACGCAAACAGAAAAGAAAATGGGACAACATGCTCTAACAATTTCACGAACAGTAGCCGCAGCATCTTCTCCGGTGTCTCTGCTGGTTGCCTAGCAACCTGGCAACCTCGCAGGGATAACCGAGTGGCATCAATCTTCTCATCTAATTCTCAGCAAGAAAGCTAATAAGCGTATTTTTTTCCAAAATGTCAAACTATTCCCTTCAAGGATATTAAATGGTAAAAAGAAAAATGTCCAAATGTCATCGTACGATACTTCAACTCTTCTGTTCTATTCTGTCTGCACCAATGAGGTGAACGGGAGCTTTAATCAGTTGTGGCTGGCTGCAGTAGAATTTCAAGCACAAGGCTCAGTGTGAATTTAGATTTACGTCCTACAAGTGTGTGTGTGTGTGTGTGTGTGTGTGTGTGTGTGTATCTAACTGTCTCTTACATAATACCGCCCAAAAGGAAAGCTCTTGCTAGTCTGCAGCATGCTCTGTAGCAGCAAAGCACAGCAGCAGGCAGAATGTCCTTGAGTTACCTCACCCTACACTCATTCTTCTTGTTTTTCCTCTCTCTCTCTCTCTCTCTCTCTCTCTCTCTCTCTCTCTCTCTCTC